TTCGGCTAGATGTCAATGGTGTATTTTCTTTGAGATAAAAAGATGACTTCTTTGGATCGAGCGACTTCTATGCCTAGAAAATATTTAAGCCAGCCAAGATCTTTGATCTTGAATTTGTTATGCAAAAATGCTTTGATGAAATTGATGTTAGAAGAGTCATTGCCGGTGATGATGATGTCGTCAGCATAAACAAGGACAACGGTCAGTCGATCGGTGTCCTTCAAGCCAAACATAGAGTGATCAGTCGGAGACTGGTGAAAGCCCGCCTGAAGAAGGGCAGTGGAGAACTTGGCAAACCAGTTCCTTGAAGCTTGTTTCAAGCCATATAATGACATTGTGAGCCGACAAACTAGATGTTCTCTATGCTCCCCCTTACGAGAGAAGCCAGGAGAAAGCTATGTGTAAACTTCTTCAGCTAAGTCTCCATAGAGAAAAGCGTTGTTGACATCAAGTTGAAACAACGACCAATTTCATGCAACTGCAACGACAAGCATGCGGCGAACAGTGACCAGTTTGACAACGGGTGCGAATGTCTCATGATAATCTATGCCTTCAGCTTGGGTGAAGCCTTTCGTAACCAGTCGAGCTTTGTATCGCTCAATGTTCCCATCAACGTTGTATTTGATTTTATACACCCACTTACATCCAATGGCATACTTATTAGGTGGTAGGGGAGTGACTATCCATGTATGATTAGCTTCTAAAGCCCATATTTCTGCTGTCATAGCATCTCGCCAATGAGCATCTTTCATGGCAGATGTGAAAGTCCTGGGTTCATGGTTAGTACTAACGGAGGCAAGAAAGGCTCTATGAGTAGGAAAAAAATTATTATAAGAAATGGAATTTGAGAGTGGACCTGCGTGAGGAACCAGCGAAGAAAAATGACCGCCCAGGGTGTTGGAAGAAGAGATGGCAGGAGAACATGAGTAGTCAGCGAGCCAGGTAGGTGGTCGATGGGGTCAGTTGGAATTACGAGTGGGAATGGGTGGTGTTGACTGGGTGGAATTGGTGGGGGGTGATGATGGTGGAGCAGTTGGTGGTCGTGGTGAAGCAGCTTGAACAGTTGGAGAAGAAGAGGTGTCAACATCCTCAATGATGAGGATAGGTGTAGAAGGTTGATGAATGGTGGATGAAATGGGGACCTTCTTGAAAAGAAAAGGGAAATTCGTCTCATGAAAGGTAATGTCTCGGCTGACATAAAACTTTTGTTCATCAAGGTCATAAATCTTGTTACCCTTCTGACCATAGGGATAACCAATAAAGATGCAGCGGTGAGCACAAGGGCTAAATTTGTCCAATATTTTGACACGAGCATAACATAAACAGCCGAAAACGGGAAGGTGGTTATAGTTGGGTTTGCGGTGAAACAAAATGTCATGTGGAGATTTGCCTTGAAGAAGTGGTGAAGGAAGTTTGTTGATGAGATAGGTGGCTGTTAATAAGCACTCACCCCAAAAAATATTGGGAGGCCTACTTGAAAGCGAAGTGCACGAGCTTTCTCAAGCAAGTGGCAGTGTTTGCGCTCGACTATTCCATTTTATTGGGGTGTGTCAACACAAGATCGATGGTGAAGAATCCCTTTTTGAAGAAGAAAATCTTGCATTTGGTGGGAGAGGAACTCAGTTCCATTGTCAAAACGAATAGCTTTGACAGTAAAACTGAATTGGTTTTGGACCATGGCACAAAAATGTTTAATATAAGAAAAGATTTCATATTTGAATTTCATTAGAAAAGTCCATGTGCCGCGACTAATGTCATTAACTATGGTGAGAAAATATCGTGCACCAATGTGTGTGGGGTGTGGAATAAGCTCCCCATATATCACAATGTATAAGGTTAAAACGAATAGAACTTTTATTAAAACTGAGAGAAAATGGCTCTATGGTTTTTTTTGTTACAGGACAAGTCATACAAACGCTGATTGGATGGATGTTCAAGCCTGTTGTTCCAAAGTTGAAAGGAGGAAACTTGAGAGCAGTAGGAAGCCGGTTGTATGTCCTTGTAAATGTAGAGGCCATCTCATTCCTCACACTTTCTTCGTGGTAAGGTCCTGAAACACATAAAAGTCAGGAGGAAAACACAACAGCACAATTGTGGGTTTTGGTTAGTTTACTCAAAGAAAGTACATTCAAATCAAATGAAGGAATGCAAAGGATATCAGTGGGATGAATATTAGATGAAAGAGCACAGTTTCCTTTTTGAGAGACATGAACAACATCACCATTGAGAAGCCTAACAGATTGGGGTTGTGGGAGAGGTGTTGTGGTGGATGTGTAAGATGAGGAGGAAGCCATGTGATCAGATACTCCGGTATCTATAATCCAAGAGGATGACAGAGAAGGCATAGAAGCACATGAAACTTTCATACTGGCTAAGTTGGCTGAAGAGAAATTTTGTTCAGTGTTGAGGAGAGACATTAGTTGGGAGTGTTGAGCAGGTGAGAGATGCACAACAATGGAGGGGTCAGGTGCTTCGAAGTTGGTGGGAACATTGGAGCTAGAATTGACTGCAGCAGCAAGGTTTGCCGTGAAGCTTGCGTTGAGATCCATGAAGTTTGTAGCATTGTGCACAGATGTGGCCAAAGAAACCACAATAGTCCTAGCGTGGATGTTCTCATCCTCGAGAGCCACGACCACGTCCTCGGTCATTATGTTGAGTGTGGTGGAAAACATCAGGGAGACCTCATCCATGACCAGCATTGTCAGTGTGAATGGAGGCCATTGCAACACTTTCTAGAGGTTGAGAAACACGCATATGCAAGCTGCGTTGCTTTTTGTCTTGGAGAATGAGAAGGATGGCAAGGGGTCCTTGGTCAATATGTTGTTACGGATTGGAGAAGTAATCATTCAATCCCATGAGGAATTGAAAAACTCTTTCATTTTGCTTCACCTGTAAGACATCTTTCATAGCACCATAATGACACGTGGGCATGGTGGTTAAAGAATCCAACTCATCGCAGTACCCTTTAAGAGTGGTGTAGTAGGATAAAACAGAGAGCTAATCTTGAACATGGCTGGAAATGGCGCGGGTAATGCGATAGATTTGAGCAGCATTACCTTGTGAGAAGCGCTCTTTAAGATCATCCCAGCTTTAGCGATGTCAAAGTAGATTACGCTGTTGGTAAAGTCCTTGTGAACAGCGTTTCAAATCCAAGAAAGAACCATTGTATTGCAGCGGCTCCAAGATTGAAAGGTAGCTGCAGATTCTTCTGGTTTTGAGATGGTACCATTAATAAAGCCAAGCTTGTTTTTGGCTGAGAGAGCTGTTTACATAGCTCTTTTCCAGAGGGGATAGTTGTCCACAGTTAAGGGATATGTAACGAGCACCACCCCTGGGTTATCCCAGTGGTGGAGGAAGAAAGGTGAAGTTTCTACAGCGGAACCAGAAAAGGGGAAGTCATGCCTAGGGGTGGTGGGTCACGATGCGGCAGTCGGCAAGGGCCTGGGAGGCCTCCGGCATCTCATGGACGAAGGATGTCGAGAGGGCGACTCTGGCAGTGAAGCACTCTACTTCAGAGGAGGAGGCCGGCATCTAAAGAGAGAAAGAGGTTGCTGGTTGTGACTTTTTGGGCAATGGATCAGGGAAGAATAGAGAGAGAAAGAGTTTGTTGTTTGTGGATCAGGAGGAGTAGAGAGAGAAAGAGGTTGCTGGTTATGAGGGTCTCTGCTGCTTGTCTTCGTTATAAAAGAAGGGCGGGAGCAACAGCAGTCAAGAATGATCCTTTTGGCTTGGGCCCTTTCAGGATCAGGAGCTTACAATCAGCAAAGGGGAATAAGACACCATGGTGGCGATAAAAGAAGACAGCCAAGGTTCAAGAAGAGAGGAGGAAGAAGGAGAAGGAGCTTGCTTCCCTAACGAGTCACATTTAATGCCGACCACTATGGTGGGGGCAATAAATTTGAGGGCTATGAGCTCTCGATTCCTGTCAATGAAGATGAGGAAGGAAATCAACATGTTGGCGAGCATACGGTTGCTCACAAACTTGCTTCATACACTGCCTCAAAATCTATCTTAATGCAATGCCCAAAAGAGGTGAAGAAGATGACATGGGTTTCAAAAAAAAACCCAAAGAATCATTGACCCAGAATATGATTATAGAAGGAGAAGGCTTAATCGAATCATCTCGCCTGATCGAAACAATGCCTTTACGATGGCAGAGAAGGCAATGGAGGAGAAAATGCATCCTCTGAAGAAGCAACAAGAAGAGGAGAGAGAGAAGGCTAGTGAGGGGAGGAAGAGGAGAGATAGAAGGCTAGTGAGGGGAGGAAGAGGAGAGAGAGAGAAGGCTAGTGAGGGGGTTTCGTAAGTTGTGGGTGTTCTGATACCATGATAACTCTCAATTGAGGATATCTTTTATTCAAAGAAGAAGTGTATAAATAGACAAGGGTATACCAAGAATCTCACAGAAGAAGGGAATTCAAATCAAAATAGTTACAACAGCTTATCTCGGATGACTTGACAAAGTCAAGAACAACTTCTCTGGAATGACTCGACAAAGTCAAGATTTAGTTGTTAATAGAAACAATAGAACATTTGGTTGTCCATCAATAGTCTCTCTCATTAGAAGATAGAGAAGACCCAGGACTGGGAGCTACAGCACTGTATTTTGCATGCTAAAATTAGTTGTTTGAAAAGCATTTTACTTGCACTCGATTGCTGTAAGGCATGCTTATTGGCTTTGGCAAGGGAGATATCTGCACTAGGTTAGTTTTAGAAATGTTTTTAGATTATCACAAGAAATTCAAAATAATTTTTCTCTTCATCGTAATGCTTGCTGTGATAGTTCTTATGTTCACAAATCGTACATACCCAAAGTGTGAAACTGCCATCACATGCTGATCATATGATTTGGAAAAAAATTAATTGTCAAGAAAATGTATATGCAGTATAATATCTCTTATAATGAGCATTTTAAGCAAAAAATATATTACAAGTAGCTCTGGTCATTTCCTATAAAATGTGGATGTCCAGGAATTAATAATGGGTGTTCATTGGAGCAATCAGTTTGTAATGATGTTAAGAAGGGAAACACGGCTTCTAATCAAGCGATTGTTGATGCACCCCAATCGATCGTCAATGTTCCTCATGCATTTGTCCAATGAGGCCAATTTTCTTTGGACATCCTTGGCACACGTCTCATCAACTTTGCCAGAGTGTGTATAGAGTGCACAAATGGAAGCATTTGCACACTCCGATTCATTGTTTCCCTCATTTTGTTGCCGGGACTTGGATCTGAGGATGGTGGATATGATCGATTTTCTTTTCTTTGGTGTTTTGAATCTCAAAAGGTGAGATTCACACACGAAGAGAGAGGCAGATCCCACTTGACTCAAGGCAACCTCCACCTCCTCATTTTGTATGGAATGATTTTGTGGGAGCTGAGAAGAGATTGATCTGAAAGTTCTTTTTAAGGTGCTGAGACATTTTTCCAACTCCTTGTTCATCTTCCTTCTGGCTGAGACATGAGCTTGGCCTTCCATCCTGGTGTAGTCTCTCCTACGAAGAAAAGATAGAATGATTTGATGCTGCTCTCGCAAACGGGATATGGCATCTCTCATGACGCTGCACACATCTAGCAAGTTTAGAGAGTCATCCAGCATTTCATTGACTGATTTATCTTCCGAATGGAGGGCATCAAGGGTTTGTGGCAATTGAAGGAGGTCATCAAAGACATCATACAATTCTAGAAGAGAATCAGCAAGGCACTCAGCTGTATGTTGAGCGGAGTCATTAATCGAAAGCAACTTCTCATTCAATTGACGAAAGAGAGGGTGAGTCCCAGATGGCATACTATTCGAACGAACATGGTATGGCATTGGGGCAGCCATGGTGCAGCTCCAAGTTTCAGATCCAACCTCTGTGGCTTGGGGACTCAGCTTGTGACTTTGCCTCTTATAACAAACTTTTAGGAGGGAGGGAGACCAATGGAATTCTGGTGTTCATAGTTTACTAATCTTGGAGCTCCATGGAAATGCATTGAGCTTGTCTACCTGAATATCAAACTTCTCAATAATCATGCAGGCTCTTGGCACGCATTGTATTTGTTTTATGTGTACATGCCTGGCATGGCCACTCTCCATCCGACAGTGCCCCCATCCGACAGTGCCCTATTTCAAGTATACAGTGCTAGTCTCCATATCAAATTGGGTTCTTTTCATTGAAATAATGAATAATTTACAAGTCTATTCTGTGAGCCAAAGTTGCCAATAGAGCCATAGAAGAATTGGGCGTCCATTATTGTCACATGAGACCAGACTGAGGTCTTAACTTTAGGTTCTTTCATGGCATAAGATGAGATGGATTTTAAAAGCAGCTGGTTGCTTTGATCGAGGAGACAAAGTCTGCTGCAGCTTCCAAACATTTTATTAGGGACTCCAACTCATGAGATTCCCTTTGCCTGTTAATATACTTGCGTGTTAGTCTTTCTAGTCTTTAAATATATGATTGGCATGATCACTTATGAATATGGAAAAAGTTCGACACTTTAAATTATAGAATTAAGGTGGACACACTTTTATCTATTGAATTCACATCTAATGGCTAAAAATGATTTAATTTTACCATTTGTCACCTCAAGTGCTAATAAATACAATATAAATTTACTCACATATCCCCTAAAATATTGATACTAAAAAAAGTTCTCCTTAAATTTCCAATTGCATGTTCATACCTCTTTTCATTTTTTTTTAATGTATTTTTACACAAAATGCCTCTGTCATAGATTTCAAGATCTAAAATTTCACAACAAATTTGGATTTTGAAAATCCGAAAGTTCTACTTGCTTCTAGGGCAATGAGATCCACTGCTGGTGTGCCGTGGGAACAAAATCAGTTTTGGATTTTTAAAATTTGAAATTTTTAAAATTTCAAATTTTGAAGATTCAAAGGTGACATTTTAAGATGTTTAAAATCCAAATGTGTGGAAATTTCGGATTTTGAAATCCAAAACTTCTTCTAGGCACACTAAGTTTGGACATTTTAAATTTTGGATCTTCAAGATTCTCAATTTTGATCCGAAATTTCACAAACTTATGCCTTACTAAATTTTTTATGATGAAGATCTGACATATGGGTAATTTTGTTATTTTAATATTTTTAAAAAGGTGTGAATATAGTTAAAAAAAATAAAAATAATCACTACATAATGACAAAACCGGGGGATATGCATGGAATTTCCTAGAACCCAACGTGCAGACAGCACGAATTGCAAAGGACTCTTGCTGGAACCCTGAAAAAATTTTATGGGACTGAACCCGGACCCGGACCTTGACCCAAAATTATCAAACCTAGACCCGGACCCAACCTAAAAAAACAAAATATGTTAAAATATAATATATATAATATATACGTAGTGTAGGAGACAAGGACACAGAGGTA